TATTTCTATTATTATTATTATCATCATTATCATTATCATTATTATTTTTATTGCTATTGTTATTATTATCATGTTGTTGTTGTTCATTCTTTTTCTTTTTTGCTATTGTCGTTCTTGCTTTTGCATGATTTTTGTTATATCTTTATCATTCTTTTCATTATTTCTATTTTTATAGTTCCTGTTGTTTTTCTCGTGGTTATTTTTATCCACTTTTCAGTTGTGGTTGTGACTATGTTTGTCAATACCACGAGTGAGAGTGATAGTGTCTGTGGTCGCTTTTAAAGACAAGCGGGTTAATCCAGATTTCGAGGGTTTTCAGAAATATTGACCAACACCAAAAATGGGCACTGTCCTACCTACAGCAGAAGTTTGGTTTCATTGGTGGGTATATTTGTTTGGTTATAGAGAAAGCTCTCCTTGTCTTTAAAAGAAACTAATCAAGGGGCAAAAACTTTACTTTCGATTTTCTTAAAACAGCGTTTTTCAGGGTAGCCCCCTTGTGCTTAAAAACGACCATTTATTATCAGATCCAGAACAAGTGTCTTTACGTTGCTGTGCGCATTTCCCTTTGACAGTCAACTTCTTTCATTGCCAATACGAGGGAACAATGCTAACGATTACAGTTCATGGCAATAGTTAATGTGAGACAGCATGGTGAAATCAAGCACTTGTCAAAATACAGAAAATCTGAGAAACTGGCATTTTTCTGCCAGTTCGTAAATTTTTATCGAATCGTTATTTTTTTGGTTCAACCTCTTTTATGTCCATATAAAAACACATTTCAATGTGAATTTTTCTGAAAAAAACTTGATTAAAGTAATTTTTCTGTTTTGAAGGACTGTAGCTACTGGAGTTACCAAACTTTGGCAGCCATTTTCTCACTAATTTTACAACTGAAACCAGACGACCTCACCCTCTTTAAATGCAGGTATCTTGAGTTCTATTCAAGATAAATAGATTTTTATTTCACTTGAAGCAAGGCAAAAAAATTGGCTTTCAGATGATACCACTACCAATAACTCCACGTGTTCAAAAATTGACGAGCGCCTGATTCCACCGCGAAGTGACACAAATGTCCGTGGTGAATGCTGTTTGAACAGAAATGCAGATGTCCGCGAGAAAAGGACGAGACAGTCTTGAAGATCTAAATGATTCGTCTCACGGCGCGGTGGTATCCGGTACTCGTCAAGTTTTGGTCACAATATGAAGTTTTTGGTTTAATTTTTAAGTTTGTTCATTTTTCTTGCTTTGAAAAAAAATACCCACCTATCTTGAATAGAAGTCAAAATATTTGTGATTGAAGGAGGTTAGGGTTATCTGGTGTTAGCAGTAAAAGTAGCGAGAAAATGGCCTCCAAAGTTGGATGACTTCCAAAACTTTAGTCACCTTGGAAATTGTACGTTTACAATTGCTTTGCTGTTTATCAACGTGTTTCAGTAAAATCTACACAGAAATGCAATATTTAAATGAACTTAAAAGGTGTTTAGCCACAAGAAAAAAAAAAAAAAAAAAAGAAAATTCGAAAAGATTACCCAACGGCCAGAAAATGGCAGTTTCTTTTGTTTCATTATTTTTTGGGACGAACGACCGATTTCACCACGATGCCTCACGATAATATTTTAGAATGGCAGCCTAGAAACTCCTTTCAAATCTGCTCTTGCGCAAGGGAACCTCTTTCAGGGTGCTATTATTCAGGGGCGAGGGAAGGGGGGTGGTGGTGTGTGAGTAATTATGTAAATAGTTATATTAGCACACACTTTATTGTCACCTGCTTATGAAAAAGACGCCTAAGCCAACATTCATTAGCGAGAGATGCACAGATAATTTGGACGAGCTGATATTCCAGTTTGCTAGGCGCTTTAAAAAAAATCTCTCTTCCTTAAAGCGAAGGTTGCTTTAGCCTAAAATTTAGAAGATCGCTTATCGTGTAGAGCATACAGGAAGACTTCAGCAATCTTATATCGTACCCTCAGAATTGCTATTGGCAAGAAGTCACACTGTGAGTTTCTTTCATATCACTGGGAAGATCGAAGGAAGTTAATTTTTACTTTTATGGTGCACATTATTATTTACAACATCAAAGGGAATGATTTTATCTATCAGCACTCATTTTTCTTAGAAATCGTTTCTATCTCATTTTTCTGAAACCCTGTGAGGACTTTTTCTTTCAAAAAGCACACTAATTTACAGTTAATAACACCGTCATTTAGCGTTACATTTTATTTTTTTCGTCAAGGTTGTCATGACAAAAGGTGTATCTGCATTTCGTGTCTCGCAAAGACGGTTGAATATCCTGGCGTTCGTGTTTGCTGTCCTTATAAAAGTTAGATCGAATTTCAGCTGCCTGTGCGCTAACGAGTTCCTTGCTCTTGGTTTTTTCCACCTGAGAGTTACCCCCCTTGCTTGCTCATTTGTGTTAGGAGGCGGTGGAATCAGGCGCTCGCCAATATTTCTACATGTGGAGTTATTGGTATCATTTTAAAACTTGTTCATTTGTTTTGCTTTTGTTGAAAAAAAAACACCCCTCACTATCATAAACAGAAGTCGAGATATTTGAAATTGAAGCAGGTGGGGATCACCTGGTTTCAGATGTACAAATTAGCGAGGAAATGACCGCTAAAGTTTATCGACTTTTAAAGCTTGAGAGTCCTTAGACACTGCAAATTTATATTTTTTGTGCCTTAAATCAACATTTTTCAGTTAAGTCCATACAGAATTGTGTTTTTTAATGGACTTTAAAAGTATTGGGTCAAAAACAAAAAAAATTGATAAAAATTGCCAAATTTAAAGAAAAACGCCAGTTTTTTCAACTTCATTATTTTGACGAGCGCATGATTTTACCACGATGCCTCACATTTGTTCCTAACTGTGAAGACGAACATTCTGATATCGATGTCCCACCTTAGACGTCTGGAACACGAATGCACCAGAGTAACTGTTTCACATCTCAGTAAGATGAATAGCAGATTGCTAAAACGGAGATCAGCTGCAAACTGCATCGTGTTTGTGTTAGGGCTAACTAACATTTGAGTATTCCTTTATCGTGAAAAAAAGACAGAAACCATAAGAAAGTCAGAAACCACATTCTCAAAATTACAGCAATACTATTTTTATGTTATTCTGACGCATGTGGGAGTTCTATAGGAATGTTGTCAATATTCTGCGCATCGACGAGTGCAAAGGTATTCAGGCACCGTACTGGCTTATGCTGAAAGGCTTTGTCAGAATGTGTATGGCGACATAGCTATAGCCCACATGTATTCATTTTGAATATTTTTCTTTTGTCTGAAAGTATGAATTAAGAAACTTTTAGACTAACAAGTATATTGCTGTGAATATATTCAATGTAGATGCTTAATATCTGAAATGGTATTGAAGACAAATAAACAGAGGACATGATGATCTTACGCATAGCGTAGCTAGAAATGACAGTCGAGGACGCTTTTAGTGTATGACAAAATGTGTAACTGGTATCACTTCATATCAGCAGCTGGGGAAGACCAAATGGTCGTTGTAGTCTCATATTATGGTAATCTACGCCGTTGCCGTTATAGTCACATACAAAATATTATGTTAATCCAGCTGTCAAGATTCTGAAAACTAAATTTACATCTTAAACCGAAAGCAGACACTGAACAGGGCGAAATATCTAAATTCACAACCACAATCAAAAGCGCCTCTGGGATTCTAGATCTATGCTGGGGGTTTTGGAAAGCTGTTGGCTGCACTGTTGGGATATTAATACGGACAACAACTCTGCATGCAAGGTCATTAAGGGTAGGGTCACAGGGCGTGGTTTTACTGACATCAGCAGGGTGACCAGTGTGCTGGGGTGCCTGAAAACTCAAAACTGGAATCCAAAGAAACGAGAGACGAAAATAAAATAAAGCACAGTGTAGCATCTACACGATTGAAGCACACGTTCAGGTCAGTAGTCCTATATGTAGGGTTAGGCTCTGTGCTCTACGACAATTGAGACCAATCGACGCTCCTTTCAGGCTTCTAAAAAAAGCAGAGGAGGCAGCAATAAAAGGTGTTTGATTTAATTAAGAAAATACAAAAAAGGGGGTGAATATCACGTTTGTCTTACGAGTGTGCATACAATGTTCAGAGTCACATAAAGAGATACAGCAGACTGATCGGGACACATGACAGAATGAGGCTTGTGTCATCGTTTGATCTCAGTTCCCTTACCTGGAATGACCGGGTCGTCTTCGTGTCTGGGGAGGTCTGAGAATTAGGACAATACATGGTTAAGTTGGACTCAGCATGCTCTGGGCGCCAAGGATACTATGGCGTTTGGGTTTATATATTCGGTTTTGAGACACAGTTTATTTATTATTGGACACGCAATTAATGTTGGTGAGGTGGGGTCCGGTTGAGGTGGGTGGGGGGAGGTTAGATGACTGTGATTTTGATGATATGACATACGCTCTGAAGAGAAATTGTTCATTGAATTCTGTCCAGAGAAAAAGTCACTTTTGAATTAATTTACCTGTTCATGTAAGTTCATTATTGTCCTCATTTATTGAAGTTTGGCACATACCTATTATTCCGCTGAAGGACCCTTAGTAATGTTGTCACTTCATTGTGCAAATAATTACCTTAACTAATTTATGGAACAATCTTTTCTGATGGAAGATCTTTCTTTTTATAAACGAAAACAAATTCTCGAGTCGTCTAGACAGTACGTTTACATCCTGAGATACATCATCTTAGCCATACTATAGGGATTTTCCTCCATATATTTATTTTCCATCTATTTTTTTTCCAGAAAAGGACCCAACGTGTCCTGATGCCATTTATACGTCCCTATCTGTACAATTTACATCATATAGGAAGCGGGCTTTGACCCTACCTGTCAGGGCCATTCCGGGCTGAGAGGGATACAACATCGTATCAGAAAGACAGGGATATTCTAGATTCTCGATAAACGCCTTACTGACAAATCGGGAGTGGGCTTTCTTAAACTCTCTTTGTCGAATAGTGCCAAATCAAACTATCTCATGTTGGCCATCACGTTAGTCGCAAGGGAATACGCTTTCCAGACATATGCAATAATTGGTTGAAAAGTCGATCACTCTCGAATGAGTGCGCTTTAATTTAAATCCTGAAGGTCCATTCTAGAAAACTTTAAAGCGCTGTAACTGGAAACTGTGTTCCGGGCGATTCGTCAGTAAGACATTGATACGATGATTTTATTCTCCTCACTCGGTAATTAAACTCTGGCCTCCTGAGTGCTAGGGCGATACGCCTAATTTCTACTCCACAGGCGCAGGCTATCCGATTATATTAATATTATTATTATTATTAACACAGCTGGAGGTCGAATTGGGTTACGATGTTAAATTAATGAACCGGGGACATAATATTAATATTTAGTTGTTTATGTTTGTTCTATTCGCTAATCTGGTTCTAGAATTGGGTTATTATGATGGGATGATTAATTGGGGCCATATTTAGTTGGGGGTTTTTTTCCCTTTAAGTCAACTGGGGTCTAGAATTGTATTATGAGGATGGGATTATGAATCGGGGAAGTGTTTAGTTTTTCTATAATCTAACTATGTTCACTTCCAAAGGGAGGAGGGGGTGGGGGGGTATTTGGTTATGACAGGGGTTTTCGAACAGAAACATTGACAATTGTAGTAAAATCATGAGATGGGTTGAATTTGATGAGAATGGTGACAGGTATTTTTTCATTAAAAGAGAAAGTTAAAATATTATAGTAAATGGTACTAATTTAGGTCCGCGCTGGGGTTTGTGAATGACAGAAGCAGTAACTGCTGATGCAATGCCATGGGATGAGGAAGTCAAAGTATAATATGTGAAGCGTTCTGACAAAATGAGTCACTTCTCGGATTCGAACTCTATGGAAATAAATACACCACGCTCATAAGTGAATTTTTAAAACCAATTTATAAGTATGGAATAATATAAGGCATTAAAGAATATGGCATCAATAGAAAGTCTACACATTTGACCGTAGCGTCGATTTTTGAGCCAATATCTGCATTTGTGGATTGCAAGAAGTAACTCATCATTTTGTTAGCACGCCTCACAGTTATGACAATGACAAGGACAATTTTTATTCAATCTCGCAGGAACAAGATATTGACATTGTACGGCGTGAATGGCTTCTCGTGGGACTCACCTATACAGAGGCGGTAGGCCGTGGTGTTTGCCCTGGTGGCTGGCCAGCAGATGATGCCGTCATGCTTCGGCGGACAGTACAGGGCACCAGGCTCTGAAACAACACCAAAAGATAAGATAAAGAAAACAGAATTATCGCAACACTGGGGACAGTACAGAATTCCAGGCTCTGAAACAAAACTAAAGCATTGTTGTTGTTGTTGTTGTTGTTGTTGTTGTTTTCAAATCCTTTTAGCTGCGAGCATTCCGCTCTTGGCAGCGCAATGCCTCCCTCAAGTAACCACATGTCCTTGTCATCTGGTCAACGCCAGAGTAGAACAGGCTTTGTAAGTCTGTAGGTGTGTGTAGGAGCTTGCGTCGAAGAACTGCCAGGTTTGGGCAGTGAAGGAGAAGATGTTCAACGGTCTCCTCCTGGTAGTCACAGTGTCTGCAATGGTGTTCCCACGTGAGATTAATTCTGTTTATGTAAATTTCGTTTTGGTTTGTAAGTGTCCTGTGCGAAAAGCGTAAAATATGGAAAACAGAGTTATCGCAACATTGCGGACAGTACAGATCTCCGGACGCTGAAACAAAACCAAAGCAGAAAAAAGAATAATAGATAGTATTTGTATAGCGCAAATCCCCTCTCAACAGCAAGCTCTATGCGCTTCACAATCTATACTTCTACCCCAGCAGACCTGAGAGCGCTCAGATGACTTTATGCAGTTGCAAGCACCGTAAAACCTCTACTAAAAACTAAAAAGACCTGAGAGCATTCTGAAACAAAACTCAACTTCCTGGAAAGCATACAGTGCAAGCAGCCTTTTATAGGCGCTAAAACACTAACATACTGACAAGATCTTTCCCTGAAAAGAAAACAAAAACAAAGTTATCGCAGCATTG